AAAGAAATATGAAATCAATTTAAGGATAAATTACTAAATGATTGATTGAATAGGTTTTGGCGAATATCGCGGACATAATCACCGAAGAGAGCGAAGAGGGAGAGCTTAAGCACAATATGTGGCGCGAAATCTTCATATTAGTAGATCTGTTGTGTTGCGGAGCCATACTATTCCCAGTCGTCTGGTCCATACGGCACCTGCAGGAGGCCTCACAAACGGACGGAAAGGCTGCCATAAACTTAAGAAAACTGAAACTATTCCGACACTTTTATGTGATGGTCGTCTGTTACATATACTTCACTCGAATTATCGTCTATTTATTGAAGATAACGGTTCCCTTTCAGTATGAGTGGCTTAACGTATTCTTTCAGCACTCGGCGACTCTTTTATTCTTCTTGTTGACGGGCTATCACTTCCAGCCGACCTCTACTAACCCTTACTTCCAGTTAGCACTAAGCGATGAAGACTTGGAATTGGAGGAAGTGTTAGTGTTTTTTAGTTGTTTTATGTTTATAATAAGAATATTTAATTTGTTTTGTATTTTACAGACTCTTCGTTCAGCCAAACAGTGGCTTCAGTGAGACGAAGAAGCGGAGCCATCGCGACAGCGAATCCAATGTCAACTCAGATACGGAGCGATTGATCACCAAAAGAGAAAGTAGTCATGATTTTGATTAGTTTTGAGTTATGTATAGGATTTTAATAAATCGTTTTATGAAATTAATTTAAATTTATTTTAAATAACTCTTTTTTGTTTTGTCGATTAATGAGATGAATGTTTAATTTATTATTAATTTAAATGATATTATTTTTTGTGGAGAATATAATGTCTATTATATATACATTAAAAATTTGATGAAAAGCTTTAACGAAATGATATAATCTTTTTATAATTATTTGGAAGAACTAATCGATTATAAGTGAGATTATAATCGAAATAAAAAATTGTAATTCATTTTGTCATTGGTTTGGATAATAAGTTAATAATTGTTGTGAATGTTGTATAGAGAGAGTGCGGCCACTA